CAGGACCAGGCGCAGCGGCAGCAGCGGCAGCAGCAGCAGCAGCAGCAGCAGCCCACCGTGTATGCGCGCAGCATTTCGCACCAAACAGCAGCAATGAAAGCTGCAGTCCTGGCCATTTTGGCCCCCCTGGAGCTGCTGTCTGCGTACTTGCTGGGGAAGACGCCCAAGTTGCTGCTGCTGCTGCTGCTGCTGCTGCTGATTTGCTGCCGGTCCGGCGGCCTGCACCAACCCAACTCGTCTTTAAATAAAGGAGATGGACAGTTTTGCTGCATGTCTTCTTTTATAAACGGCAGCAGCTCTGCTGCAGCAGCAGAAAGCTCCGCGTGCCGCCCCTTTGCTGCTCCCAACACTTGCACCGGACCGCCCCCTGCGCAAACCCTAAACCCTAAACCCTAAACCCTAAACCCTAAACCCCGAACCCGAACACGCACAGGCACCGTACTCTGAAACACGTACACCTTGCATCCAATACTCTAAACCACAAACCCTGAACCCTTCACCGTAGATTCTAAACCCTAAACCCTAAACCCTAAACCCTAAACCCTAAACCCTAAACCCGGTTTTCTTTTCATGGAGGGTTTTGGGTTCTTTGGGATTTGTTTTTCGACATCGCCTGCAGCCAACTTGAGGTGTATCTACGGCGCAGCGCTGGCCCCGGGTGTACTTTCAAAATTAGAATTAAACCCTCTTTTAGGGTTTAGAGAATCGAGGGTTTACTAAAGGGCAAAAGCAATTCATTAGGGATGCAGCAGCAGCTACTTTAGTCGCCTGTGGCAAGGGTTTAGGGTTTAGGATTTAGGGTTTAGCGTTTAGTAGAGGGGCTGTAGGAGTCCATATGAAGCCTCTAGACCTGGGGCCAAAGGCGCTAGGGTTTAGGGTTTACTGAAGCAGTCATTTTAGAGTTTAGGGTTTAGGGTTTAGGGTTTAGGGTTTACTGGAGGGGCTGTAGTAGTCGATGTTGGTGACCCAGCCGACGTAGTGTCTGGACACCCGATATTCGCTGCAGGAGCAGAAGTACCTCATTTTCGTTTCTTTCTGAAAACAAAATAAATAAATAAATAAATAAATAAATAAATAAATAAATAAATAAATAAATAATAAATAAATAATAAATAAATAAATAAATAATACTAAATGTTTATTAAGTGCAAAAAGAGAGAAAGAAAAAGGAATTGTTTGA